TGATAATCGACTATTCTATCCCTCTGATTCCTCGTCACAAACTAGCAACCTCCAACAATCGATTATCTCCAAACCAATAATCGATTATCTGTGACCTCTGAAAATACCCAGTTTTGTGCAAGCCTTATTAATCGATTGTTCTTCAGTGTTAATCGACTATTGAGCGTCTCTGAACATTCCCGGTTTGGAACCAAATCCTAATAATCGATTATCTAAAGGTGCTAATCGATTATTGTACATCTATGCACTTCAAAGTCCCAAAATTGTCAATTCCTATTTGCCTTTTCTAAGCTTGGGTATAAGGCCAAAATTATTTCCTGATTTTCAACAAAGAATAAAGCCTTTTCTTCCACAAAACAAAAGCATAATCACTTTTGAAACAAAAGAACAAAATCAGAAACAAAGTCATTGAATGAATAGTGCTGTTTTGGCATTTTATTCACAAAAGTCTAAAGCTTGATTCCCCTTTGTTTTACTTCCTTATATGCACGAAATTTCTACCCAAATAAACCCAAAGAAGATCAGCCCAAAATCAGAAGAAGCATCTTGGAAAATCAGCTCACATGGATGGACATTAATCTTTGAATTTTAGGAAAGGAGTAGGAAGTTTCCTTTATTGTATTTTTCTTTATTTGTTGTTGTATTTCCCCTCCATTGTGGCCTATATATACACAGGCATATGGCCATTGTAAGACAGCCATGGATTGAATAAAAACTTCTTTGTTTTACTCTTTGAGTAATTCTTTAAAATAGTGTGATGCTATTTTAACCAAATTTCCTAATGAAATATCTCTAAAGTTGGCTACTTTTGAGTGCGTGTTACGAGTCTAATTTTATACATTAGTAGTGATTATTAATGTGTAAAAGAAGATAAAAGCCCCAAGTTAAGATAAGAGTGTGTCATATCTCTTAACACCAACTTGGTTTATCCCTTCATTTTATTTCTGCCCATTTCATTCCTCACCATTTCTTCTTCTTAAACTTATTCTTTTCTCTCATTAAAAACACCAAAAAGAACTCTTTCGCACACTCCATATTTCACCCCCTCAATTCCATCATCCATTTCCTTCCGCAAATCTGCCATAAAATAGCTACTCGATAAGACCCCGGGTCTCGGGTACAACATTCTTGTTCCCAGATCCCAAAGGACCAAGAACACACTTCCACTCTTTCTCCTTTCCTTCATCCTCATTTCGTCCAAAACATTCTCCCCCCCCAATTCCTTCATCCTAGCTACTGGCCTACCTTCACTCTTTCACTTCCTAGTTCAAAACATGTCTCACACCTCCCAAAACATCACCAAAGAAAGACCTGGTTGCATCCAATGCCGAACTCAAAGCTCAAGTTGAGTATTTGGCCAAACAAGTGGCTCAACTCACTAAAATGAAGTTGAAGATGACGGAGACACCCGAGGAAAGTGAAGATGAGCAAGAAGAAGAGGCCCATGCAGAAACTTCTTCCTCTTCCATACGAAAGGACAACCAAGAGAATTCCTCCGCTAGTTTCAAGGTTGAAATCCCATCCTTTGATGGCAATGACGACCCCGATGATTTTATCGAATGGTTAGAGATGGTTGAACGCGTGTTTGACTATCTGGCATTCCTGAAGTTCAACCAAACAACCAATAATCGATTATCACAATTGTGACAATCAACTATCTGGCATTCCTGAAGTTTAAAGGTTGTTCTAGTTTGCTACCAATTCCTCCGTAATCCCGCTCTCAAATTATCTACATGATAAGACCCCGGGTTCGGGTATAACATCTTGTATCAGAGCTTCTTGTTCCCAGACCCCAAAGGACCAAGAACACACTTCCACTCTTTCTCCTTTCCTTCATCCTAATTTCGTCCAAAACATTCTCCCCCCCCCCATTTCCTTCATCCTAGCTACTGGCCTACCGTCACTCTTTCACTTCCTAGTTCAAAACATGTCTCACACCTCCCAAAACATCACCAAGGAAGACCTGGTTGCATCCAATGCCGAACTCAAAGCTCAAGTTGAGTATTTGGCCAAACAAGTGGCTCAACTCACTAAAATGAAGTTGAAGATGACAGAGACACCCGAGGAAAGTGAAGACGAGCAAGAAGAAGAGGCCCATGCAGAAATTCCTTCCTCTTCCATACGAAAGGACAACCAAGAGAAGTCCTCCGCTAGTTTCAAGGTTGAAATCCCAACCTTTGATGGAAATGACGACCCCGATGATTTTATCAAATGGTTAGAGACGGTTGAATGCGTGTTTGACTATCTTGCATTCCTGAAGTTCAACCAAACAACCAATAATCGATTATCATAATTGTGACAATCGACTATCTGGCATTCCTGAAGTTTAAAGGCTGTTCTAGTTTGCTACCAATTCCTCCGTAATCCCGCCCTCAAATTATCTACATGATAAGACCCTGGGTTCGGGTATAACATCTTGTATCAGAGCTTCTTGTTCGCAGATCCCAAAGGACCAAGAACACACTTCCACTCTTTCTCCTTTCCTTCATCCTCATTTCGTCCAAAACATTCTCCCCCCCCCCATTTCCTTCATCCTAGCTACTGGCCTACCTTCACTCTTTCACTTCCTAGTTCAAAACATGTCTCACACCTCCCAAAACATCACCAAGGAAGACCTGGTTGCATCCAATGCCGAACTCAAAGCTCAAGTTGAGTATTTGGC